AGCACAGGGACTGCGGTTCAATCCCCCAGCACCACATGCCAGCCAGCGCCGCCCCCTGGTGGGCTGAGCTGGCCACACACACACACACACACACATAAATAAATAAAATTAAAAAAAAAAAAAAGACGCATAGGGAGCTATGGTTTATCTCCAAAAATTACTCTTAGGAACCTTCTTGCAAATTTAGCTAGTTATGATTTTGCGATACTTTTGATACTTCTCTTACCTATGGTGCTCATTAGTGAACGTATAAAAATGCTTTTCTTGGTTATTAGTCACATCCCGAATTCTTTTATATACAGGGGCACTCCGATTTCTCACTTCCTGGAGAACTGTTTGTAGCACAATCACATTCCTGATGGCAGGGTCCTCGAGAACATCAATCTTCAAAAGAGAGAAAAAAAAAAAAGTTATTTCTCTATTTTAACTTAGAAATTGTTTCTGTGAAACAAAATTCTTGGTTTAAAAATGTTCACTATATACTGAGTTATTTTGCGGTATAAAAAGTGACGTTAGTCACTCAACCCTTCCGTCCTAGCCAGTAAGAATACATAGAAATAAAAAAAATAAAACTTCGTCGTCTTAAGGTTATTCATAAAAAATAAGTGGCCCACATAGCTTTTGTTCGTAGGCACTTACAAGCTGCCTGGGAGTCGCAAGCTGAAGCCTCAGAAAGCCCTGGTCCCGGCTTCCAGGCACTTAAAATCTAAGGTAGAAGAGACACCAGGGGTTAGAAGACGTGTCTAATTTAAAACAACAACAACAACAACAAAAAAAAAAAAAAAAACTCCGAAGACTTAAGGGGGGTTGAAAAGCACAAAAACGTTTTGGCCTGGAGGAGTCAGCGTGGGGCCCGACGGGGCGCGCAGCTCCCGAGTCTGCGCCACCGCCACACCCGCCGCCCGGCCTCGGCTTCCAGGCCCGCCGCACGCCCGCCAGCCGACGCACCTGGTGCAGCAACACGTTGGTGTCGGGCAGCAGGTAGTGCGGCCGCGGCCAGAGGCTGCTCGCCTGGTCCTGGGGCCGCGGCTCCAGCGCCGGCCCCCCGTGCGCCGCGCCGCACTCTGCACACCCACTGGCCCCGCAGCCGATGTCGTCCCGTAGGTAGTGCTCGCGCACGATTTTCATCACGCCGCCTGTCCGGGTCTTTTTTAAAAACGTCTTGGACCTGAGCATCTTGCGCAGCGGTCAGCGGCAAACTCACGACCGCCACAGCACTCTTCCGGCGCAGCTAGGTCCCACCCGGACGTTCACCGCTTCAACTCCCCGGCTATCAGCCGCCACCACCCGCCAGAGTACGCGGAGCGGGCCCTCCGCCGGCAGCGAGGATTGGGCGAGAGCGAGGCGCCGGTGACGTCATCTCCGCGCGCAGCCTGGGCGGGGCCTGGACTCGCGCTCCCAGCCTGCACCGCTTCCCGCGCCTGCGAGGAGCCGGGCGGCCTGCGCCCCGGCACCTGGCCCTGCGCTCCGCGCGTCCTCTTCCGGGCGCCCGCTGGTCGTCTTGGTTACGGCTGCTAGCTGTCCTAGAGCCTCCGAGCGGCAAGAGTGCCGCGGGAGCCGCTGACTGGTGACGCCCGCGGCTCCTCGGGGTGTCTGAGGTGGTGGCGGTGCAGCTTTGGATGCCCAGTGTCGAAGCTTTGGAGGTACCTCACTGTTGTCTCCCCGTCTTTTCCGCGAGGGGCCAGGGCTCCCCTAGTTGCTGGACTGGGGGCTTGGTGTTCACGCCAGTCACGTGGGCAGTCCCAGTCACTTAGGCTTTGTAATCCCGAGGAGTGTTTTTCATTTCTGCTCTCGTACCGCCCCCCCCCCTTTAAAAGAGAAACCGACCTTCCCTCTCCACACACCTCTTTATTAAGAAAACACTGGACAGTGTCGTAACTTAGTATATCGCGTAGTGAACGGAGGTTGTTAAGGTTCCTGGGAAAGGCCGAGGCGTTGTGTTTAGAATAGTTGAGTTTTTCTTGTGTTTTTTTCTGTAATCTAGCTAATCTAGCAAAAATGCCTTTGTCTCTGCTTCCCAATTGAAAACAAAAGCAAGAACACTTCAGTGATGCTTTACGTTTAAGGCTGTCCAGTTCTGACATTTAAGTGTGTGCAGGCGTCTGGGAAGTCACTATTCTAATCCACAGAAATTTGCTGCAGCTTCTGTTCTGTGCTGCGACCACTATACCAACTGTCTACTCCTGTTTAGATCCTTTAAGATTTTGAGTCCTACTTTTCTATAGCCTTATAGCCTTAATCTAACTCAGAAGTGATTTCTCTTAATGTTTTTGTCGCTTTTTAGATGCATTCTTGTTTACTAACGGGCTCAGTCCTTTATGTTTTTGTGTGTGTGTCTTCCAACTAAAATTACTGCATCAGAAACTTTAAAAAAAAAAATTCTTGGGGCCAGGGAGATGGCTCAGTAGAATAAGCACTTGCCTGGCAAGCCCAAGTGTCTGAGTTCAATCCCCAGTTCCGCAAAAAA